ACACAAATTGTAATCCAATATTAGCACTCAATTCAGGAAGGGAATACACATGTGCTATGTTTGTATTTGACATGAAAGATATACTCTTAGGTTTCTGAGTATAAATGACTGGGGATAGGGAATGGTTATAAATCATTAGGGAGTATGGAGGATATGTAACATTGATTCATACAATTAATTAAAAGGAATTAATGAAACATATACTACTTGAATTGAGGGTTACAGTCTCTTCCAGGATGTTAAGAAAACTCTCTATTTGCTCAGGTTTGGAGTTGAGCAGAACTGTATTTTGCCCTGCATGTCAGAATAGAACATCTCCCTGTCTTAATAAGGCAACACAGAACATCTGTTTGGCCTTCAACTTACTGGTCTTGTCTTAGACACATTTTTATTATGATAAAATAGCACTCATGTCAAAATGCCTAAATATCATGGTAATAAATAATAAATACTTATATCTAGACCGAACCTTGACATACATGAGATATCATCTCTTGAATTATATATGTTTTTTAAAAAAATGTGTTGGCTGATATCCAGCCATAGGAATGAGTAAGATATTTAACACAGAGCCAGTAAGAAAGAAAAAGAAAAAATAAAAAAAGGAAAAGGAAGATTATAAACACAAAATAATCAAGAGGTAAGTAAACAAATCTCAAATATTATTTCCTCAAAGAAGTTCAGTTTCTGTCCTCTCACCTACTGTCCTGATGCTGAACACACCGCATTAGTGTGTAAGATCATCTTCTCCTTCCTTCCCTGAGCACAGGGTGCAGATTATTAGTGCCTAAGGAAGTGTCTACCCAAGTTCAATAGTGACCTGCTGAGTGAGTACAGGTATATGGACATGTGCGTCAAATACATATTAAAACTTCAGATCAAGTCCATTTCATGGGATGAATGTTTAAAAAGTAAATATCAGAGAATGTATGAAAATTGCACTTATAGCTGAAACTCCTGGGCATGAGTCAATGTCATTTTATTAAAGCTACAAGAGAATGGGAGGGCAGGGGCTGTGAGATATCCATGTTAAAGTACTCAACTCAAATGCCTAAAGGACATTTTGGAAAACAGCACCCCACAGTGACAGGACTGTAGATGTGGGCTTTTTTAAACTATGTTTTAAAAAATCATCAATATGGGCAAGTGATTGTTATGTGTTTTCTTTTAACTCAATCATAGTTTATTTTCCTGAGGGTAAAAACTGGCAATACTTAAACTCAATGTGGCCTCAGGAGAAAATGTCCCATGTCCTACTCTTCTTTTGGGGGGCGGGTGTTGTCTTTTATATTTTGGTGAAATTTTCATTTTGAGGACTCTTTTTGCTTTCCAATAGGGAAACAAACACACTGGCGAAAGCAACTGCCTTCTTTTGGTTTTAGAATAAAGAAATTGTTTTTGTTTGTTTATTTGTTTTGTTTTTCTAAGGTTCACCAAAATGTAAGGCATCATAGTATCAACATACAATATACTGGCAATAAAAATGCACAATTTTGTTTTTGAAAAATGTCAAAAACAAATAAATATAAGATATGATTTCTGCATGATTAAACATCTCAAAATACCTTCCGTGGAAATAGAGTATTCAAACTCATGAACAGAGTGGTAAATCATTGTGAATGAGTTTCCTTTCTGATCTAGATCTATCCTTTCTTTCAAGGACCCTCATTATTTGCTGTCAGACACTACAACAAAAATGTCATATTTCTGCTCACCTTCTGAGCATTGAAATCATGGCTATAAGAGGCAAATAATCGTGGAAGGCACAAACACCCCATGTGAATGGCATTGAAATAGAAACAACAAGTAGTTAAATCATCAGAGTGGGATTAATAACACGTGTATTATATATTTCTTGAGTTCTTCAAGATTCAGTGAAAAACATTGTACCAAAAACATAAAGTAGAGGTTTTCTTCTAAACTTCCTAATGCAATTCAAATATATCATTGAAGGCCAACTATGTAACCAGATACTAGCTTAGAAATAGCCTTATTTTTAAAATACTTAATAAACTTATTTATATATTTAATTTCGTTTGTATTTATGTTTTTTGTTTGGGTGTGGATATGCACATGCCATAGGACACACGTGGGAGCCACAGGACAACTTGTAAGAGTCTGTTCTCTGCTTCTACCATGTGGGTCCTAGGATCGAACTCAGGCCATCAGATGTGATGGCACACACATTTAAATGGATCATTTGACACTTCTGATGCCATTATTTTTAACTATGTTCTTACTTCATATTTTTCTCTAAGTCTTCAAGGTGGAAAAAGCACTGTAAAATGCTAAGAGACGTAAAGGAAAATATATTTTAAGCATGCCATTTGCACACCTACGTTTTCACATATGCTTCTTTCCTGTTATGACTACTCATGAGTGAGGACCATGATTTTATGATGCCAACTATTGCTCCAGTTGGAATGGATTACATCAAGGTTCATCCATGATAATAGAAATGACAAAAGTTTCTGCAGTTATTTCTTACTATTAATTATTCTAAGGAAATGGACAGAACACACATGCATATATTATTATGCAGAAATTTAGTAACTCTTGGCATCTGAGTCATGGCACTAGCCCAATAAAAAGTAAATATATATCTTCATCACCTTGGCAGAAGGGTGAACAGTAGTAACTCACTTTTTATGGCTCTATTGGAAACACTTCAAAATACAATACAGGTCCAATTTTTTTTTAATATGATTCTTCTCCATTTCCTTAGACAATTGAGGACAGTTAAAATATTTTCACAATTCTAGAGAACATCCAGTGTGCATATGCCCCTTGACTAAACATATGGAATATATATTTGGAGAAGAGCCAACTGGAGAACTGCTCGAATAATCCAAACGCCCGAGCTGAGAGGAGCTAACACACAGGGGTCAGCATGCACTTTGAAGTTCTCTGGCCTTCATTTTACCTAATTAAGACAGGATTTAATAATCAAACCACTGTACAAACGTCAACCTCAGAGTAAAGGTTTGTTTCTAATTTGGGGGAGAATTCTTAACAGATTCCAAGGAATCAGCCCCACATAGGAAAGGCTGCTGATAAGATTCGCTTTGCCTGTTGCCCGAATACAAATGCCTGCTTTTCATCTTAGTTTGATCCTGAGACTGAGCTTAGCATCCGCCTGTCAAATCTCTAGTGTGATACCAAAGAGAAAAAAGTTCCATTAGCATCCCATCTGAAACATTGGCAATTCTGGGTCAGAAAGTTAATTCTAATATGTTCTAAATGAATTAAAAAAAAAAAAAAACATGTGATTCCAAAGGGGCATACTTACTTAATTTATCAACAGCAAAATATATACCCAGGTACTTTGATAAATATGAAAATGAATGCCAGTAAAGTATTAGCATGGTCCAATTTTACGAAGTTTACCTATAAGTTTTATAAGCAAACCTCACTTCAAGTCAAAGGTTATGAGGCCAAAACACAGGATTCCCACTCTTTCAGACCACATAAATTTCTTGCAATGGACATATTTTTAAAAAGAATATGTAGTCATTTTACGCTGTTCTGGAATGCCACAAAACAAATGAGCTTCACTCTACCACTAAAGAGTAAACCTGTGCAATCAAGCTAATGAACACTGCAGCAGGCAGAGAAGGAAGTTAATTACTTCCTGAAGAAACTGATCTGATAAAAATGAAGTTAACAAACTTAGAAAAATACTACAGCAATCAAATGACTCAGAAAAAGTCTATAACAGTGGCTCACAACCTTCCTTATGTTGTGGCCCTTTAATTCAGTTCCTCACGTTTTGGTGACCCCCCCCCAAGCATAAAATTATTTCATTACTACTTCATAACTGTAATTCTGCTACTGTGGGGTATTGTATTGTAAATATCTGTGCTTTTCAATTGTCTTAGAAGAGCCCTGTGAAAGGGTCCTTCAACCCCTTAAGGGGCTGCAACCCACAGGTTGAGAACCATTGGCCTACAGGCTCTAGTGAAAGAAGGTTGTGAAGAGCCCAATTCCACCGCAGTATCCCAACCCACTCAACAGTACACTGTCTTCAAAAAGCCAGGGGCTAGGCTGGACCAATTCATTTTTAGTATTGCTCAGTGCTGCTCAGGACTCTTAAATGCAAGCTCCTTTCCTGACTCTGTCCTTGAGGGGGGGGTGTGGGGAGAGGTGCGGGGTTGGAGGAGCAAGAAGAAGAAACTATTTCCAGGGTGGCTCGCAGTAGGGCCAGCATGAAAGGAAGATCCCACCCTTCCTACCATGAGGAGGGTGTAAAGGACAAGGATACCATAGACAGCCGCAACAAAACTCACTTTGCTGTGCTTACGTTTTACATAGCAACAAAGCATTTACTAAGCTGAGCTGTACATCTGTTACCAGTAGACAATAACGCCTTTAGGACATGCATGTACGTCACAGAGAACAATAGAGAGATTGGGATCAGACCCGACAGATTCACAGAACATGCGATGCTGTGCTGTCGCATACGATTGTACTGCAACCCACCATTTCTTTGTAGTTGGTTGAGCGGTACAGCTCACCATTATTTCAGCCCAAATCAGGGTCTGGGAAGAAATTACCAGAAGTTTCGGTGAAACTGTTTCAAATGGCTTTTGGAATGAAGTGGGCATACTGAAGAACAAGCACGACCGAGACAGAAACAGGTCGCTGAGAAATACCATGCTGGCTTACATTGTCCTGTCTGCCAGCACCTGAGTAGCCTTTAGAACTTGTCAACCCACACATTTACCCCATCGCAAGGGAGGCTTCATACAACAGGACTTATGTCCCTGTGAATTAAAGCAAAAGCCTGTTCCATCATAAATCTTACTGTTAAGCCAGGATCTCAATATTACTTCAACTGTCCTGTGAACATAAAAATGGTGAAAATAGTGATATTGTGATCCCGTCCTTCAACCCAGATGTCTAGGCAAGGATGGTGATCTTTGCATTTTTGCAATCCCAGCAAAGAGAACCCTGACTGGGAAACCAGTGCTTTTCATATTCAGCTTTGCTTCATGCCTTACTTTGTTCATGTGGATCTGCTGCTGGTATTGTTTCTGCTTCTCCAGGAACTGCTGGTGTTGCTGCTGAATGACCAGCTGAGCCAGCGTGCTCTGAGGCAAAGGTGCAGACTGGGTTCGGTTCAGGGGTCGGTGACGGGGTAATTTGTGGGTACCTCTAATGCCTGGTGAAATTCTTTCTTTTGTTGCCAAAGGAGACTGAGGGTGCAAGGGAACTCCACCTGAAAAACAAAAGGTGTGTGCGCGAGTGAGTGTGTTTACACCTTACATGTAAACAAAGATGCACTGATAGATAATTTTAAGAGAAGACAAGGAGCATCTGCCAGACAACTGAAGAAGGGTAGGCTGGATGCTGGAAGGCGTGAGTGCAAAGCCTTGACCAGGCTTATGTCTGTGCAGCTGAAGCATCGACCAGCAATGCAGTTTGCTATACCCAAAGGTTCCCTCCCAGCTCCACCCTACAGATCAGGATCACGTAGAGATCATAGCTCCTCCCACAGTGCCAAGTGTTGGGAACGCATACAGCAACAGGAACCATCCTTACAGTTTTGAGTTAGAGAAATGCCACATAGTCCTAACAGGACCCGAAAACGATGTCATTATTAATTACCAGCCACAAGGAGCTTTTGCTGCCGCATCTGTTCCTTCAGCAGCAGGTGCTGCAGGAGAGCTTGGTGGCTGCTGCCATGCTTCCCTTCCATGGCTGCGTGAGCGTGGCTGGAGGACGCTGCAATGCCGCTGCCGTACTGGCCAGGCAGAGGAACGCCTTGCCTGAGCATCTGCGTCTCAGACTTCTGCTTTTCTTTGAGTGAATTGGAAGCCTGGGTCAAGAAAGAATTGAAATGTTAATCCTCCTTATTCCTGCGCCACACCGGGACTCTAGTCAGCAGGTGACTCTCCTATGTCCAGTGTGTATGGTGAGGAAAATGCATTATATTGTACCTTTTACACTAAAAGAATTAACAACATAGACAATTGAGGCACTGGAAACAGTTTAGCAACTGGGTATCCAGTACTGAGCCTAAGGGAAATCTGTGTTACATATTGAAAATGAGAGTAAACACAAACTTTCAGCAACACAGGGAAAACAATTTTCAATGCTTTTTGTTGTGTATCCTGGTGATAATGGTTACATAAATAACAAAATATACTTCACAATTTCTTAGCGAGTAGCTAAGTGTTCTCTCCAAAGAAAAGTATGGAAGAAAATGCATACGCTAAATAGCTTATCTCATTACATTATACAGATCAAAACACCATGTTGCAAAACATAAATACATACAATTTTTATACATTAGCTTAATAAAAAGTTGAAATGAATTTCAGGCTTCATAAGTGGAAGCTGTCTTCTAAATACTTTAAAGTGCACTGACTAAGCAAAAGGTATGTTGGAAAGTTAAACTGATTCAAATGGAGGCTATCATGTGGGTGAAGATAAGGCAGTCTATATAATTCTAGAATTTCAAGAAAAAAATATGTTCTTACAACAGCTCTTCTTTTTCACGAAGCTATAAGTTTCAAACATTTAAGTTTCAAATGAAATTATCTCACTCTGTGAAAGCTGGTACAAATACACAAGAATTTGATTTAAATATAATTTTCTATTAATTCATAACAGATCCCTACATCTCTGAATATTAAAAATGACAACCCAGATACTTTTGTGTAATAAAGTAAACTACATGTGAAATCAGATATCAAATAAAAGTGTTATTAAGAACTTGAAAGGCATGGTAACACAGTAATGGAGCCATAATAATTACATCATCAAGAGCAATAATGAATTATCCTATTCAAAAAATTTAATGAATGGTGGTCATTTTGGTATTATAAAGCAGAAGTCTAATACCTCAAAATTATGTGGCATGTTTCTTTTCAAAACTTATGTTTCATCTTTCAAAATTGCTGTGCACCAGGGAGGCAAAACAATTTTCAGTGATGGAGAAATTGAAGGACGAAGAGGTAAACGGTTTGTCTGAGTCACAGAGCAGGTCAATCCAATGTTTAATATATAAATGATGCCCGGCCCAGCATCTTTCCTTAAAGTCTTCCACTATGCAGAGGGGGAAGGGAATATTAGAGCTCCTTCTGCCAGGGAAAGACTATGATTGAGAAATTCATTGTGAAGGCCTCATCCACACCAAAATAGAAACAAAGAAAAATTAAACTAATTCAAACCACACTAGTTTATTCATCCAATGGCACCAAATGGTATTGTCATTGAAACATAAAACAGTCGGCCTTTAGTACGGGTCCTTTGGGAAAAGTTTCTTTGACCACATTAAAAGTGATGGTGCATGGGCCAGGCGATGGTGGCACATGCCTTTAATCCCAGCAGTCGGAAGGCAGAGTCAGGCAGATCTCTGTAAGTTCGAGTCCAGCCTGGTACCAAGATCCAGGACAGGTACCAAAACTACACAGAGAAATCCTGTCTCGAAATACAAAACAAAACCAACCAACCAAAAAAAAAAAAAATGTGGTGCATGTGTGAGCTAGCAAGAGGCAGTGGCTGAGAGCACAGAAATGGGGACATCAAAGTGCCTGTTGGGATCTCATGGAAGTGTGGGGGTTGGTATTTATATAACATTAAAATAAATGACAGAGGAATAAAAAATAAGTTTAGTAAGTGATGATTTAAAGATTCTCATGTCTTATAGTTTCATTTCTACTTCCATTTTACATTCCTTTAGAAGCAATTGTTTACAGATCTTTGGAATTTCAAGAGTGTATCTGATTCAAGATTTTCATGCTTTCCTCTGTAAGTCTTAGATTACAGAGATCACATCCTAAATCTGCCTTCCCTTCACAAATCGTATATGGTTATGGGTGATATTATATTCTATTAATACTCCAAATGGAATAAACTTTTAGATCTAATAAAAATGTTTATCTCAAAGACATATGTGACTCTGTCATACAGAACTGAGGAGAAGACTTGTCCTCACGAGTGCTCACACTGGGGACAAGGGTTAGAACAGATTTCACCTTCAGTATCTAGCATCTGAGTTCTAGGTATGTACAGTTTAATTTACTAACATCTGCAATGAATTACCCCGTGTGAACCTGATAAATACTTTGTAACAAGTAAAATGTATATTATTTTAGAGAATATGTATAAAATTATTATTTTTATCCTCTGTTATACTGGGATAGTTACTCCTCCTGAAGATCCTATTTCAGTTGTCAAGATTTTTAAACTAAGTAATTCTCTTGAAGTCTCCTGAGAATAGCAAAATGTTGTTCTTAGGGATCGTTTCCAGATATGTATCCTTCACCACAGAATCAGTGACTTCCTCAAATAACGTCACTCCCAGAACCGATTCTACAAACATGTGCTGGTGTGATTCTCAGGCAGACCACTCAGCTCTGGCCTGGGGATACCTGCACCTGCCACTCACTCACTGGGTCTGTGATCTTGAGCTTTGAAACTCCCCAGCCTCAGCTTCCTCATCTGTAAATATGGACCATAATCTCCCCTTCACAGGAAGGATGCTGGAGCCACAAATGTGTGCATGTGAAGACATTAGGTATTTCTACATTAGAAATCATTACCCAAGTGAGATATTTGTAAATGAACCTGTGAACCAATTCTGTGATTTGAAACTAAACTGAGTGCCTTTAATCAAAGCAGCAAATAGCAAACCATGTAGGAGATGCAGGGTTCTCATGTCCAAATACACACGACATAAAAGTGAGTTCATGTACAAAGTGTCATTTGGGCTGGTTTAGGCTGAGGCCACCATGACTCACATTGAGTGGGGATGGCACTGCAGGAAGTCCCAGAGTGATGTTGGGCAGGGAGGGGGAGGTGTAGAGACTGAGCAGGTTCATGGAATCTTCATGAATTAGAAGGCGCTGCTGTGGAACCAGTTGCTGTTGACAAAAATGAGAAAAGGGGATTCTTAAAATCTTAGAAACTCATCAGTAAATGTTCAAATTTCATAAAGCAGTTTCTACATTACCATAGTGAAGAAAGACTCAAGTACTTACTGTTAGTTTCTATACAATGCTTAGGCATTATAGTATAAAATTTAAATGAATTTTTATCAGTTATAAAATATGGTGAAAGAATTTCTATTTTCATTGTGAAAATTCCTTTGAAATCTGGCTTTCTGGAATATAATTAATATGTTTGTCATGTATCAGAAAAATAAAAGAATCACAGTTGGTGACTAATGCATATTTACAAACCTTCTCATACAGGAAAAATAACTTCATAAAATAGTCATAGCTTTGACCATCATTTTATGCCATTGTTTTGAGAGGAAATTCACAGGAGATTAAGCAACACCAGAAGGCTTCTATATTAATCACATTTTAATATAAAATTATCAACAAACTATGGGTGGTGTTATTTTACATCATATATTTTCAAAACTAAATTTTAAAATGTTACAGGATCTTTACTTGACAAAAATGTGCATTTATACTGAAATACATTCAACACTTTGGCATCTCAGTACTTTTTATAACAAATACATTTTTAATCCAACACTAAGAGATGTGTATTCCCACACGTGGCTTACTATGGCTGCTTAACTTACATCTTCTGTTTAACTCTTGCTCCCCTCCCAGAACTTTTATACAATAAGAGTTACAAAGGTCTTATTAGACTGGGGAACTCTGGCCTGATATGGTTCCCAAGGGTACAACATCCTGAAAAAGAATACTCCATGTAACAGTATGACACAGTGACTGCTTTCTTCCCAAACAAAAAGCATATGGGACTCCAATAATAGACCACCTCCAAGAGGGATATTGCACACACGGGCTTTGACTAAAGTAAATATAATAACTTGTCAAGCATGTTTGGGGGAGCTGTAGATTTTCCCCAGGACAAACCTGGGATATCAATTAACAAGGGAAAATATCATGTGCTAATACAATGCAACCTCAGAATGTCACTGAAGAGTGATGCACCAGGAAAACACAGGATGTTATTCCAGAACGTTATCTCAATCATACAACTGTTTGGAGATGAGTCTCAGCCTTAACATAATACAAGAGAAGCTTAGCACGGGGTTTTCCCAGTGCAGCCTGGATCTCTAATTCAGGCTGTGTTTCTTCTTAAAAGAACATGTCAGTTATTCATGCATGAAAATTGTGTGTTATGTTGAACTACTAATGCTCCATTGAGTTTATATGGTGAAATTAGAGATGCTTAAATCCCCAAAGCATGAAGATTATTGGGAAAGATTTTTACATTATAATGTATGAGATTATAACTTTATTTTAGGAGCTTTTGGTAATAGTTGCATTTTTGCTGAAAGTAAAATAGCAAGCGACTATTTTGTTTATAAAATGGACTTTGAAATCAGTTTTATTATATAATATATGCATGGACCACAAAAGATACAAAGAAGTAAAAATGTTTTCTTAGCTTATTGTCAGCTAATACTCTTTTAAAACAAAGGAATAACCCTCTTATCTATATTCATCGAAGAGAAAAAATGTGGAGAAATAGGAACTTTAATTAAGAACTACCATTCAAAGCTGTAACTGTTTCCTGTAGGAGCAGCATGACAGTAACTGTGACAGGCGAATCCACAGGACTCAGAGATGAAGTTCTCTCTCTAACTGGGATGACTTCTGTATACCCTCCTACCCCAAACACGAAGACAACACACTTGGATGAAAACTGATTTCTTTTCAGATATGCTGATGGAAGCAGCTGGCAAGCAGCTCACACTGGCTTTCGCTGATGTGGAGGGATTTGTTGATACTTCTTCACTGGGATTGCAGGCTCCAGAAATTTAATATAATAATTGTGTGACTCCATCTCTCATGGTGGTGTATTCATTTTCAGTATCTATTAAGTACCAAGCCCCAGAGATAAGCATCGTCTTTACTGGCACTCCCAGACTCCCTCATAGTTCAGGAAAGGAGACTGAGCAAGTGAGTGAAGAGGCGTGTAGTCACCGTGGGAGCAGGGACAGCTCTAAGATCATCCAACTCTGTGGCTGCCACCCGCCCCCCCATGGAGGCAAGAGAAACAGGAAAGACTGGCATCACATTTGAGAAAATCCCTAAGGCTTATGAAGAGAAGCCAAGGAAAGAACGTTAGCCTTCTTAAGAAGACAGCCCTGGCCATCTTACAAACGGGAGGAGCCAAACCATGGCAGACATTGCCTCAGGTTCTCTGGAATTCAAGGACTATTCTCTGTCCCCATGTCCGTGGATACAGTTGGTCCTTCTCACAGACAGGAGCATCATATGTGGTGCGGGCACTGCTTGCCTCTCTCAACTGTAAATAGGGCACTACGCACAGGGTGTATGGAGGTTTCTAGGTCAGATCATACATCATAGAACCAGACAACTGTTTGCTCTGAATTGTCTTTGAGCACAGCTTCCCTCAGCTAGGGTCTGGACAGGAAGGGTCTATCTGTTCTGGGTCAACGTGTCTTAATGAAATCTGGACGTACATTCTCTACTGTTAAGTGCAGACAGATGGTGCAGAGCCATTTACCTAGACAATGAGTGATCCTGACCTGTGCTCTCACAGGCTGTGGTGCTCCCCACCTCAGCACTGACCTGTGCTCTCACAGGCTGTGATGCTCCCACCTCAGCACTGACATGTGCTCTCACAGGCTGTGGTGCTCCCACCTCAGCACTGACCTGTGCTCTCACAGGCTGTGGTGCTCCCACCTCAGCACTGACCTGTGCTCTCACAGGCTGTGGTGCTCCCACCTCAGCACTGACCTGTGCTCTCAGTGTGGTGCTCCCACCTCAGCACTGACCTGTGCTCTCAGTGTGGTGCTCCCACCTCAGCACTGACCTGTGCTCTCACAGGCTGTGGTGCTCCCACCTCAGCGCTGACCTGTGCTCTCACAGGCTGTGGTGCTCCCACCTCAGCCCTGACCTGTGCTCTCACAGACTATGGTGCTCCCCACCTCATCACTGTGACAAGTACACACAGATTGACAGGAAAACAAGGAAGTTTCTAGAAGATAGTTTTAGGAAGCCCATCCTTGGTGCTATATCGCTGAGATGTCAACATGTCACAGCTTAGAACACTGGAAAGATGGCTTTAACACAACATTTCCACAACTGGAAACTCACACGGTAGGCAAATGAACTAGAAGCATTACATGTACGGCCATCACACAGCCTTTAAGAAGCACTGATGGCAGCTCCTCAGTGCTGAGCAGTGGTGACGGGCGCTAAGAGAAAGGAGAACAAGCATCAAGGCCTGTTAGAATCACTATCACGACATTAAGGTTAGAACGTTTGAGTGGCACCCAGGAAGACATTAATGTAAACCCAGGCTGTCATTGGTAACCGGTAATTCACCAGGACCATATTACAGGATGAGCCTGGAGCTGAGTGTGTGGGGGGGTATTCACATTTTAGTAAGATCTTTCAAAGCTGTATTTAACTTCTCACTATCACGTTAATTGGAAGAAGGTCTTATGGATAAATAAAGTACACATAGAATGAAAAATATATGACCCTCGAAGAAGATATTTATTCAGTCATTGACATTAAGAAACTATTGATTTAAAGAAATGGAATCAAATCTTTCCAACAATAGGACTGAGAAAAGTGAGAAAATGCTCATGATTGGTGCTGTGGATGGAGGGAACTAAATGGGATATAATGACAGGTACAGCAATTCCACCAACAATTCAGAAATATAAATCATATCTATAGCACACATCATGGACCTGGGGACTCCTCTCCTGGAAAGGGGAGCTTCAAGAACATCTCTCCCGAATCAGTCAGGATGGCTGTGTCTGCTCTCTGTAGCATATCTTGCTGAGGCGTAGGGCTGGGTAGATAAAATGGAGCAGCAGGCACCATAGACTTTTATAGTGATTAAAACCATTCATAAGCTATTACTGGATCTAAAAACACACGGTCAGTGATAGAGTAAGAAACGTAATGAGATGAATAACACTGCCACTCATAGTCTCTAAAATTCACAAGACACAAAATATAAGTTCAGACTCTGTAAGAGAAAACACAGAGAAAACCACAGACTTCACTGTCCTGAGGGAAACACAGAAGGGGGAGAAGAAAAGGAGGAAGGAAGGAAGGAGGGTGACAGGAGAGGGAGGGAGGCAGAAAATGAATGCCTGTCTTACCAATACCTCGGACTTGAAAACAAATATGTAAAATCTGCCTACTTCTGATAAGCTCACAAAAAAAGTGAACGAAGAAGGCTTAGTTTACTGAATATTCAAAACTATCTACAATAGGTCAGAGAATCAGAAAAAGAAACACAGACCTTAGGTAAGAGATGTGGACTAGTCAAAAAAATGTTTATTGTGAGCATTTCACATCTGAGCTCTGCCATGTGTGGGTTGTGGGTACAGACAGCCACCTACCTTCCCCAGAAAACAGGTCCTACAGCCCAAGACAGAGAAGCTCTGATTATCTTGTCAGGTAGCATCCGTGTCTAGCAGGATGGCCTATAGGAAGACATACTTACACCAATTGACTTTGACTTAAAGTGGTAGACTATTTAAAAACAAGACAGCCACATTTTAAAAGATCCCCAATGATCTAATATTTGCCAAAGGCTTTAAAAGTATTTTTCAAGATCGCATTTCTTTTCTTAAGCTTCATTCAGAAAAATGAGATATAAAGTTCTATATGATAAAAAAAAAGAATTATTTTCAGAAAGTAAAACTCTCCAAGTTTTAGTATTTCACTTTACATTGAAGATCATATTATTGTAAAACATGAGATAAAAATTTTGAGGGTAATAATAACCATACTTTCTTTTATTAATCTCTCTCTCTCTCTCTCTCTCTCTCTCTCTCTCTCTCTCTCTTTCTCTCTCTCTCCCCTCTCAAAAACGTACCAAAAAGTAAAAGCAAATGAAAATCAAAGCAAACAAACAAACCAAGACAAGAAATACCAAAACAAAATCAACAAAGAGCCTACAAAGAAAACATGGAGTCTATGTTTTGTTGGCCAACATTTCCTGGGCACGAGGCCTGCCTTGGAATGTGGTTGGTATATGCAGTGGCACTCCACTGGCGAAAACTAGAAGTTGGAATTTTAATTTTATTTATGAGTATGTGTGTGCATATGCACATATTGGTATGGGTACCCAGGGGTACCCGAAGAAGGTATCAGATTGCCTAGAGCTGGGGTTATGAGTGGTTGTGTGCCACCCAACCTGGATGCTGGGAATTGAACTTGGGTCCTCTGGAAAAAGAGCAAGCGCTGCTGAGGTGCTGAGAGCCCTGCAAGTTTGCTTTCTAACTTTGCATTTCTATTTTATTAAAGACCTTGCTTTGCAATATTGGCTCATGTGATTATTGTGTCATAACTTCTTTTCCAAGTAGGGGACAAGTTTTAATTGCTGCCATATGAACCATAGCTCTGGGGTACCCACGTAAATAAAACAGCACAGCAAATGTCAGGACAACTATTGCAAAACAACAGGCAGATGAATCATGTGAGGCTAGAGCATCACAAAAGTCATTTCCGGTGATCTTAGAACAGTTAGCCTTATTATTAGAAGTATTTTTTAAAAATCATCTGTTTCTGCTGGAAACTAAGGAAAAAAAATAACAGCAGACATAGTCACTAATGTTAAACTAGAAATAAACGAGCAACTTGGCCACTGCTAGGATGGCTATCAAATACATCGACTGGATCTAGCATCATGGTGCTGATAGCCATGGAAGCATATTTGAACCCACAGGCCCACAGTATTAACAATCCAAGTAGCTAGATGGCTAAAGACATCTCTGAAGGGAGTTGGAAACAGAAACGCTTGAGGTTTTAGTTCCCAACCAAGTTTACAGAGGAGTAAAGTGAGTAGCTCCAACAGTCTGCATTCTGGGACTGAGAATACGTAAAAAATAGAAGAAATGGAACAGAAGTGGTCAGAGCAGATGGAGACGCATTCTCATATGAGGGCTGCTGGCCTGAAGACAAACAACTTAATCAGTTTTCCCCATGAATAGTCCACGCTGACGATAACAACAAAAACGAACTTTTTTCAAATTTCACAATGTACAACCTGCCTTGCAAACAGTGACTCCTTTCAACAAAGCGGCAGGAACCAGTATTGCCACCTTTTAACCAATCGGGAATCTGAGGGTTAATAGAAGTTTGGCAACTTGATCAGTAGTTGGTTTTGTAGCAATGCCCGAGCCCAGCCTTCAAACAGAATCCTTAGCCATCCACTACCCTCTGGTGCATTCTGAGTTGCAACCACAAGTACATTCTCATCCAACTCCCGCCTCTGCCTCTTCTAAATCAGGTAGCATTTGCAACTTACATGACAGAAAACAAAAAAAGGCTCAAGAACTTTAGGTGTCCCTTTTCCAATTTTCTCAGCAGCGAATGCAAATAGAATCCCATTCATTTATGTGTGGTCTGAAAGAATTAGGTGACATTATTTTCTACTTACAGGCCATGGTGCACAGAGACATTCGCACCCGTGCTGTATTTTTTAAATTGGTGACTGGGGTTGGTCTAGGGCCTTTTGTGTGCTAGGCAAGGACTGAACCACTAAGAGACACACTCAACTCTCGTTTTCTTTTTTCTTTTTCCTATTGAGACAGGTTTTCACAATGTTGCATAGGCTGGCCTCAGCTCACTTTGTACCCCAGGCAGACTGTGAACTTGAGATATTCTTTTAAGATGAAAACCCACCTGCATTATGTGATGAAAGCAGAATATTTTGTAAATGGTGAATTATACAACTGAGGGTTTTAGCATCTAATAGTGTAAATAATTTTGATCTCAAAATTTCTGTTGCTATGAAATCATATTCTATTATTAATCTTAGGGGGTAACTGTAAAAACCACACAGGGAATTCTAAGTGACAGCACACTTGCCTGTGTCCAGTTTCTCTAGGTGGTAACGGCTAGGATGTATTTGTTGACAGTCTGCCTAACTTCTGCTGCCTTCTTACCTATGCAGAGTGGATTGCACTACAGAGCTCTGTGAGTGTGATGCAGAAGAAAACACATGTTAGCCATCAGGGCTGCGTTTTTGTTTCTGGGCCACAGAAAGGCTGCCCATCAGTGCATGAAGGTCTGCCCACCTGGCCTTTTGGAGCACAGTTCAGGCACACAATTAATTCATTATGAGGTAAGTCATTGCTTGCTTTTGAACTAGCCTTGCCAGCGTTGGAGGTGAATGTCCTGCCACTGACCTGGAGAAATCCCTCTACCCTTTAAACTCCTTTAAATCACATTTCCTTCTGGTTTGTTTTGTTTTTCTTCTTTGACTGGTGGGGGTGGGAGGAAAGATTTGCAGTGATGGAATATGTTCAACAGTTAGCTGAAAACCTAGGATACCCAAACCTAATTTGTGAGAATGAAAGATTTAGGAATACAAAATGGATTAAAATAAGTAAAAGGCCTTAATCCACACTCTCCATTGTCTGTCTCTGTACAAGTATACAGCTCCACACACACACAGATCCATGTTTAGAACTCGGGCTAGGCAATCCAGAAAATTCAGTAGGTTCTGAATAGCCAGAAGAGAAAACCTTCCATTCTTCCATTTTGTTTTTACTAATATTTCTTCTTGGTTTCTATTCTGTTTGAACAGAGTAGTGAATGGATGCATTTATGAGAAAGGCTAAGGATGTCTTCTCTGGTAACTCTCCAACCACAGTTTCTTTGTCCTCCCTCTGAACTGTAATCAAATCCCACAGCTTGTCCTCACTCTTCTCCATCCCTTTACTAAACATGCTCAGATAAATATTACAATTCTTTCTGCATCTAATAAAATGTAAGCATGATGCTAATGAGCCAAAGTCGAGGCACTGATGCCACATCTCTGGGAATTATCAATGCTGCTGAATGTGGTGTCATGTGCTGCAGTTTTTCAAGGGTACAAACAGCCCTAGGAATGACCAGAACCTAACCCTTACGTATTTATGTGGTTACTGAGAGTAACATTATTCAAATGAAAGTTTACTTACTATTTGTGAGGAATTTGCTCTTTTCTTGGAAATAATTAAAGGGTTGTAGAAAAATCACTCAATATGAGGATGTAACCTAAACACCTGAAAGTCCTACTTACATGTGTGATCACAGTATTCATAGAATTGCCTATCTCGCATCATATTTTGGAAAGTATAATGAAAAAGAGGTAGAGAATGACGAGATAGTAAGACACAGGAAACGTATGGAAGCCTTAGAGATTAATGTAAAGGTCTGAATGGAGGTTAGCCTTCAGGTAGCTGGGATGCTCCTGAGTGAGGGCCTTCATCTTTTCTCCTCATGCTCTCTGGCAAACAGTAGAAGTTTTAGAAGACCACGTCCTAATCTGAGGAAGATTCACATCTGCTCTGTCAGGTACCTGGGGTCTGCACATCTGGAGGTGCCTTAAGTCAAAAGGCAGTGAGAGGCTGTGATTTCTGCTGTAATACCTCACAGACTAACTCATGGGTACACTTCTCAGACAGAGAATGTGCCACTGTTGGGGTGAGGTGAGCTTCGACACAGGCCCTTGCGATCCCTGTGTGGAGCTGTGAGACTCTGTGCTTAGCATGTCCTCACCCAGCACTGGGCCTTCTCTTCTCTCTTGAGATTTATGAGTTTATGTGAAACCAAAGTCGTGAGAAGTATATAAGGCCTTAAAGCAAAAGGGCTTATCAGAGACATTCTCTATTTCCACTATTTTTTTTTTTAATTTTCACCTAATGACTTCATAAAGTCTAGTAGTTTGTGTGTGTGTGTGTGCATATGTGTTTGTGTGTGCATGTGAAATGTATGAAATTGTAGAGCAATGGAACTCTTGACTGGAAGACATTCTGTCAGTGAGGGTGACTGTTTAAAATTGTTGGGTTCTGTCAAGAGACAGTACAGTGATTCCCCTGTAGGCAGGAGTGTTTGGTACAGTGTGGATGACCCAATGGCAGGAACACTGCACATACAACCCAGAGAATGACAGATTTGATCACTGTCTCTGAATCTCAAATACTAAGACTGTGTAAAATACGAAGGGAGAGTCAAGTAACAGTTAGATGTGAGAAGGAATCACAGCAACTCTTTCTGCACAGAGGATGTGTAAGAAAGAGGTAGCATGATGCCTAGAAGGAAAAAAATTAAGCCTTCAGTCTATGTCAGTCTGTTAAAAACAGTTCCATTCACATGGATATTCAGACTCCTGGTGACAGTCACTTTCTGCTTAGTGTCCTGTCACTGACCACAACAAATGATAATATTTTAAAGCAATTTTCTAAACTACATCAGTTTCGGTAATGGAGTCTCCATTTTTATTCATCTTTATATGCATATCATTAGGTAAAATACAGTCACATAGTAAATACTAAATAAATGTTTGCTCAGTGACTCTCCAGCTCCCTCAGTCATAATACAGATATCAGTTGTTTGCCATTAAACTTCAGGTCAAATGAACAAAACCCACCTTGTTAGTAGTTAGTGGGAAAGGCTCACATGGGCTTGGTTTGCTTATTCATAGGTGTACTCCTATTAGAGAAACCAGTACCCATGCAGGATTACAGATCTTTATTTCCTTGGGCAGTACAGACTGAGCACAGTTGAGGAGGTCGTAACATTGGCTTGCATTTCAGTATTTTCCCAACATGGGTGGTCATCAAAACATCTATAAATATAATCAAGTTCATTCAAATCCACACATAAAACTATAATCAATGTAAGTGATCCACACAGGAAGAAAGATAGCTAGTTTTATTTCACAACAGGAAATACTTGGGCTCTTTTATAGATCTACCATGTCTGAAAGTGAGGAGGCCTGGACTCAGGGACCACTCTGTATCAGTTTCCAGAAGTAGATGAAGCGGGGGGGCCTTACCTCAGGGTGAGGTGTGGGAGGCAAAACTGAAGCCTCATTTTCGGTAACATTTCCAGTGGGCCCATTGTTTGGCGAACTGGGACCGGACCCTGGAGAGCTGCTACTGACTGAGGATTCTGAAAAACAGGGTGAAATACACATGCACTTATGAACGTCACACAAAGATGAGCCCCGCTGGCCATGGTGTGGGAACGGCAAGCATAACACGAAAAGAGGAAAAGTTTGCAATGTTTCTAAAGTTTCCCACTTCTTTCCCTGCTTTGTTTTCAACTGTCCACAGTACCATATGGTATTAACAGTTTCTATCAAAGACACACAACTATAAAAGGTCACAGAAGCCATTGATGAAAAAGGAAATAAGAAAGGCATATAGTCTTTTACTTGCTCTCATACTATCATAAAAGTATACGGTTATAGAGATAATACATTTGCAGATGGGGTGAAAGCCAGTTGTCAACACATCACAGAAATCCATGGCAAGGAGTCTTGATGCTGAACTATACATTATCTTTATTTGATACACTAAGCATATATCTTATTATAATACATGCCAGTCAAATTGAAAAAACATAAATAAAAACTAAAAGTCTCCACATTGCATTGATGGCCTTATAAAATATCAGTTGACTTTAATTTTACCCCACTGAATTTCTGGAAGATGAAAGTTGCCAAATTTAGTAATGTAAATATTTAAATATCAATTAAAAAGAAATTCCTTGTGGCAAAAGTTTGAAAACAATATATACTATTTGATAATCTTCATATACAAAATTCATATGGACCTCAACATGCAAAGAAATTGAAAATTCTTATTCCTAGAAATATGGCAGCAGAAGTCATTGTATTAAATATTGGAAAATTGTCCATTGATTAGTAAGTTCTTGCCATGCCCTGCGGTCACTTTGAGTATTTTCTAAGTGTCTCGTCTCCATCTCATTAAGTCTGCTCTGCTCAATGGCACTGCCTCGTACTCTTCAGAGATGGAAGGATGGGACTCATTCCCACCACATATTTTCTTTCTACACTGTGACTGTGCTCTGCTGACCGAATTCTTCTTGGCTTTTCAGAGCTACGGCATTTCATTCCTCTCTCCTTTCTAGCAACAACACATTTATTCTTACCCACAATCCTACCCTACCCTTCACTGCTTTTGTTCCACCAGTTCCTCAAAACCCGCATGCCCTTCTAGCCTGAGATTGCCCGGCTCTTCGGGATTGTCCCCTCACCTGACAGAATGGTAGCAGTGCTTGAATAGAACTGTTCTCTCAAGGCCAGCTCATTCTCTCCTGCCATGGTTTACTCACTGTCAACTGCAACCTTTCTTTCAAATGCCACTAAAGTTTAAGGCTTTTGACAGAATAGTCCCAGACTACCAGCCCTTCCTCTACACCCGTTTCTCCATCTCCTTCTCCCGTCAGTCTCCGCGCACAGACATACACTGTGTTTACAGCTGAACCGACTCGCTCTCTTTGCTCCCATGTTAAATGTTATCCTTGGGCACACTACTTCCATATACGTAGTATTTCTTGTGTAACTCTCAAAAATTTTAGTCTGACTTCCTTTGAAATGTTGGATTTTTTAAATATTTATTTTGTTTATACTTATTTGTGTGTGTGTGTGTGTGTGTGTGTGTGTGTGTGTGTGTGTGTGTGTGTGTGTCCTTAGTGAGGCCAGGAGAAGGTGTCAAGTACCCCTAAGCTAGCAGTACAGGCAGTTGTGAGCTGTTCCAAGTGGGTGTTAGAAACAAAACTCAGGTCCTCTAGAAGAGCAGCAAGTCCTCCAGGCAGAATTTTGGGTATGTTTAATCCCCAAATACATGTGTATAGCTCACACCATATTTTAATATGGAATGTTTCCTGCTGTGTCTGTATTGTGCTCCACCCTCAGAGTTATCCTTCCTCTCATTTCAGCCAAGCCACTTGGCCTTTCCTCCTCTTCTTCAGCGCATCTTGTAGATGTCTGACTATTGCCATTCCAGCTTAACTTTTGTGTCTTCTCTTAAACTATGGCATAAACTCTTACTTCTCAGAGTCACTAGAGTAATCTTTGAGGATTGTCTTTAAAATTCTTCCCAGAAAAGTCCTACGGAATGTTTTCACTGTTTGTTCCTACTCTTGCCAATTCTGCTCTCAGTCAAGCGAAGTCATTCACTCTCTGTACAAACACACACTTTCCCACATCATGCTGTTCACACACTTTTCTTCTAATCACCTCACTCACTCGCTTCACTAATCCCACCTGCAAATTTAGTTAGATACGATCTTCTTCCCCATTGATCAGGAGCCCACAAATTCCAAACAGTATTTTCCTGACCTCCATCAAAATAACTTAACTTTCAACTCTCTGCACTAAGTCCTGCCTTACTCTGAAGTAGAGTGCAATCAGAAGAACAGGGAATTGGTGGCTGAATTCTGGTCCTGACATTGGCTTATTATGGCACTGGAATAAACTATTGGTACTACAAAATGCTCTGTCTCATATGTTCACTGCCTTTCTGTTCATATATTTTTTATCACATTTTGATTAATCTGGTTGTTCTCAACATTGCCTTTATTGTGTACCTTCTTTCCATCTTGTTGTATATTTTTTCTTTGAAACAGGGTCACACCATCCATCCCAGGCGGGCCCAAACTCCTGACCGTCCTCTCTGATTCCCTAGTGCTTGCATTAGAGGCATGCATTACCACAGCCACATAGCTTTTTTAAGTGCGCTTTTTTTTTTAAGATTTAATTATTATGTATACAATGTTCTGTCTACACATATGCCTGCAGGCCAGAAGAGGGCACCAGATCTCATTACAGATGGTTCTGAGCCACCATGTGGTGGTTGTGACTTGAACTCAGGACCTCTGGAGGAGCATTCAGTGTTCTTAACCTCTGAACCATTCCATTTTTCCTTTTAAGTGCAGTTTTTAAAAAATTTTTTTAAAACTGGACTTAAAAAAATTCTTACAGGTGCTTCTTTTCCTGGTTCTTATGTTACCAGGATGGCTGTGATTTCTCACTAACATTTCATTTCCATACTTTTAAAAACACTATATTCTTAAACACTCTTCTCTCTTTACCATCTTAAATTATCTTATGTATTTTATGTGATATTAAAATGAAAGTGTTTTGTTATATAGAAACCCCTGTGATTGTAGCATATCAACTACTGTACCAGGGCCCGACACCACAAACAGCTTAGGACTTGGGAGCAAGTACTGAGTGCTTTCGTGGATACACTGGGCAAACCTGGGGGAACAGAAGGCTTTGGAACTGTCCTTGAAGAATGATAAACCTCTGGGGAACAGGAGCAGCAGAGAAGGGAGACGGAAGGCCACAGCAGGCATGGGGTTGAGTCAATGCAGAACGTTTTAAAATGAGACAACCAACTGGAAGAAGAGAGGCAGAGGAAACTTGGATTTGAAAATGTGTGGAATGGCAATTCGCTCTTACACACTAATAATGAAGAAGAGAAAGAGAAAAGAGAGCAGACGCTTCAACCTGTACAGCGAAAGAGAAAAAGAGAAGACTGGCAGAAATGCAGTCTAGCTGCTATGGCACTGTGGTGGCTCCCACTGGGCTCTGAAAACACTGACTATCCAATTAGATGGAAGTCCACTGGGAACGGGGAAGGGGACCAGGTGCAGACACTGGTGTGTGGAAGTTCAGATCCTCCAAATATATTTAGACTCAGTGGAAAATACTAGTTTGAAATTAAAAGTAACAATCAAAATGTTCATTAAAATATCTGCCAGCACCTGCTCACAGGCTGGAAGTGTATAAAAGTTGTAGCCACACAAGGCAGGCACGTTTCACATCATTCCTGAGATGAAAAGGATGAATTTTTATCTCATAAAATTAAGAAAACAAATCTATATTTCAAACTTAGAATTTAATTACTATAAACTTGTGATTATATTGATATTAAAAACAAATTAAGCCGAGCGGTGGTGGCGCACGCCTTTAATCCCAGCACTCGGGAGGCAGAGCCAGGCGGATCTCGGTGAGTTCAAGGCCAGCCTGGACTACCAAGTGAGTTCCAGGAAAGGCGCAAAGCTACACAGAGAAACCCTGTCTCGAAAAACCAAAAAAAAAAAAAAAAAAAACAAATTACTGTTCATTTCTTCAAAATTTCTCATCCTCAAGGAAACAGTTTTCAAAATACAATCATCAAATACTATTTTTACTTAGCAATACCAATCTATTGTGACTAGAGAGGAGGCTGAGGTGTGTTTTACAAACTGAAATAATCTGTCACTTTTAAGCCGCAGTGATTTACCTAACTTATCTTTCCTCTTTCATACTCTTTCCTTTCCTCTCTGAACTGGCTCTGACTAAAGGAGAGATAGGAAACCCATTATTTGAAAAATGTGAAGGGTGCGATGTGATCCGAGAGCAACTGCTTACACAGGAAGAGTCACACAGTTCCTTAGGAAAGAGAGCAAAGCTTCTGACCAGAACCTCTTTCCCTGCATATTGTCCAGCACAATGCATCCCTCTGAGCACCCAGTAAATGGTGGTCGGTCTTGTTCTGTGTAGCCCTTCGAGTTCCTGTATCCTTAGGAAGCCGTAGCCAGCATTATTGTGGCTAGCCTTTTAGGTTCTTGTATTCTTAGGTACTTCTCTAATTTTAAACAGGTACAAATGGGACGGAGGGGTTTGTAAGCCATCAGGTTGAATTTCCTAACCTGCTCACCTCACTTCTAACCAGGCAGTTGAAAAAATATGAACTCTTCCATTTGAGACCAGTGAAAACGACAGTCTTTTCCCCTTCATAAAAAGCAGTATTTCCCCCTCCTGCCATGAGTCCCAGACCACTAGTAAACACATAAAGTCATTTATGAGTTCTGTAAATTTGTTGAAAAGTCAAGGATTTTGTGTTCCACATAGTTTAATTTTCCCAGATGTATTTCCTACATTCATGTCTGAGTAGGGGGGAGGGACGCGCTCTTCTTGAAACTCCCTCTGCTCATTTTTGGTCAGATTTCATTGAAAGTTATAGTCTACTGGTTGGCATTTCCCAGATGGACTGCCCCTTTCTAGAGAATAGGGCGAGCATTGGTGTGGCTTAGCCTTGATCAACACGTGGGTGGCTTCCCCTCTTCCATCTCCTGCATTGTACAGCTGGTGAACACAAAGCAAGGTTTACTCAACTGTTTGTGAGTTTTCAAAGATATTGCCTTTAAAGAAATAGTTCTCAAAATAAGTTTGGTTAATGAGCAGACATATTTACTCTAGACTTAAAATGGAATTCCTATGACCAGCAGGTGTTAGTGTGTGACTACCCAATCCTCAATTACCTGTCACCTCAAACACTCGCTTCTTGAATGAAGTGACAATATTTCCATCCTTCCGCCTGAGTAAGGGGCTGCTTCTCCTCTCTGCCACTTTCTGTTTTAACCTGGACCGCACCTTCAAGTTGGGCTCTGAGGCTGGGAATTGAGACAAAGAAAATAGATAAAAATTAAAAAATAAAGAGCCAAATTCTCCTGTGTCTAAACTTAAAAAAAATTAAATAAATAAGAAAGCCTATTTTCTCCTGGTCCATTCTTCTCAAATGAAAAACCCAACCATATAAATAAGGTGTTGACTCTACATTAATCAAACAGACAAATATAGTAGTCATTTTATAAAATAAGTTCTGTTGTTCTCAACATGAATGTGAAATGGAAGCAAAAATCACTTTTCTTCTTAACTTTTATCTAGCACAACTGTAATTGTTAATGGGAGGTTTAATCAGTAATTACTGGTAGGTCTGAGTAAGATTTATTATACTTCACTGCCTGGCCTCTAAATTCTCTCAAGACTGAAATTCAATAACCACTAAAACAGTAATTTAATGTGAGGTTGGAGACTCTGACCTGACCCCTGGTAATAGGAAGACACCTCCGCAGAACATAATTTACGTCTAATTCTGACTCCTGAAATATTTCTTTGTCAGTAGTTTCTAACCTAAAACTCTGGGAAAACATACTCAACCCAGTAACACAACATGAACTGGTGCCACTGTGAGTAACCCTTTCCACGTCCTCAGTAGCCAGTCAGGAGAAAAGAAGCTGACCAAGGTGGAATTGAAGTTTGAAGTTAGTGTATATGTTTGAAAACACAAGCTCACATCACCCATATGTATATTACTATTTCTTTGCCTACATTATTCCAAATAGCAAATCTATATGGCTATCATTTATTATATTTTTAAATAATTATGTTAGAAAAATGCAAGCAATGGGTCCCATCTTTGTGTAGTTGAAGTCCATTATCTATGATAATGATGGTGGTGGTGGTGTGATCACAAGGCTGTTTCTGATGACAACTGACATTATATGTTAGTTTCTATGTTGCAATACTATCCTGTGTTTTATCAATACTAACTTGCTTATACATAAAACATGAATATGGTATTTATGCTATCTATAATGTTATAGTATTGATGTGGAAGTTAAACTACAGAGGGTGGGTAACTTGTCCAATGTTACAGAGGCAATGGGATGAAGCCAGGCAGGCACCCTGCCCTATCCTAAACATGCTAGATACTCCTCTTTTCCTTACAGTGGAATGTCATAAAAATTAGAAGATAGCTTTTGTAAAGTGCCAGTGGACACAGTGTTCCTGAAGCTTCTGATCAATGGACACCTTTCCTTTGAAAGAACAGCAGCAGTAGAGCTCAGAGCACGGCGTGCCCCCACCACTATAAGACATGAAGTGTCTATACTTTGTTCTCTTGTTCTCTTTCCTGCAGCCATCAGCTTAAACTGAGAACTACTGCATTTCTCAGATATAAAAAAAGCAAGCTCTTTTCTTTTTTGTTATATAATTTATATTCTGCTTAAAAATATTGAAATCATATAAAAGGACTTTGAGTCCCCAATATTTACTCTACCGACAACTTTTCTGTTTTGCCTATCACCTACTCAGAAAAAAAAAAAAACAGCTTTCTTTTTTTCAGGCTGAGATCTACTCACAACTTTTGGTAAAACCTAATGGATTAAACACTGGCTGTCAAGAGGGAACAAAAGCACCAGCTTGTCACTTCAGGAGGCAGTGGAGGGAGATTGAGGGTGCTTATTGGTGGTCTCAGCTTTGTACCTCCTGCCTTCCCTTCCTCTCTGACTGTCACTGATCCATGACTTTAGAACTAAAGGATCAATTGTTCCTTCTCCTTCAGCCCTGTGAACGGCTTCTTGCTGTCGCCATTTTCTGGGTGTATCTACAGCCCTTAACCCTGATCTTTCCCTTATAAACAGCATGGCCAATCAGCAAGAATGCCGATGATAATGTGGTCCATAAGCCCTTTCTCCCTTTTCTCATTCATCCATCACTTCCTTAGCATCGGCGACTCAACTCTGATTAATAGACTCCTTTATCAGTTTCAGTTAATAGAGAATTGAGTGTAATATTGTTTCCTATAAGATAAGACATTGGTCCTAAACCACAGAAGATATGTCCCCAAAGACATGTGACAATATTTGAGACATCATTGGTCATCACTATGAGAAGATGATATGATCATTAGCATGCAGGAGTCATAGGTACTTCCAGTCATCCCACAATGCATGGGGTTCCCTCAATGACAAGGAACCATCTAGGCTCAAAGGTCAGTAGTGTAAGACCCAAGGGGGGTAATGAGTAAGTGGCAGCTGTCAGTAACTGTACCACTATGGGATGAGTGAAGCAGACGATAAGGACTGTGGGAGATGACCAAAGAGGATGTGGAAAAGTTGGTCAAGAAAGGAAAGGCAATCAAAAGTTTGGGAGCCTTGAAAATTAATTTATCCTTGGAAATTGTTTATTAAATGTTTTAAGGCTACCAATATTTCTATCTAAGTTTTTTACTGACATGTTATAACTATGTGTATTTACTGGGTAGGATATGATGATTTTGAACCTTCATGTTATGTATTGATCAATTCAGAAAGATTCAGTTATCCCTCATCTCAAGCACATGGTTTCTTTGGGATGAGAACATTCAAAATCTTCTCTGCCAGCTATTTTGAATTATACAATATAACACTATTAATTAAAATCACTCTTTTTGTAGCAGAACACTAACAGATATCCCTCCTACCATGCTGTGACTTTGTATCCATTGTCCTCCAGAACTCCTGGTAACAAAGATTCCACTGTCTGTTCCACAAGGTCAGATACTTCAGGTTTCATACAGTAATAATTGTGCAAATACCACTGATACTTATAAGGAAAGCAAGCCTAGTCAACTTCTTTTGGTTGAAGGAGATGTAATATCGTCATATTTCAAAAGGAATTTGATACCCTATATATATATATATATATACTACAAAGATTATAGATTTAATCTTTGTAAATCTAGAAAATACCTGACTTTCCAAAAACTAGAAATCATGAATACACTACAAACTGCAACATAAACTTATTTTTTTTAAATCTGTAATACAATCTTCATGAGGAAAGGTCTAGTCAATGGTCCTAGCAAAGGCTTCTGTCTGGATCTCAGGAATTTTAAGTCACCAGAGTATCTCAGTGGTGAGCATGAGAATATAATGTCAGGCAGCTCTCAGGCAAGTCTGCAGAACTCTACACACTGTTCAAAACTGATACAAACACCTAGACAAGGGGATTAACGACCAGCTGCTACTTTCCGGAGAGTTACTTTCACTTTCAATGCCCTGCGCTCCCTAGGGCCGAAGACTGCCATGTTACTCACTTGCTAATCCTCAGAGGTCAGAGGAGATGACTAATTTTGCAGAATATCTACTTCTGTATGAATGTGCTTCCTGGCTAGTTGCACTAATCACCTTTTCTTCTTTACTCCACATGTATCCTCTATATCTCAATGAAAAAAACAGATGACCTAATTTTTAGTGTATGGACATCTGAATGTGTCTGCCTGCTAAGACAAAAACCTTACATCAAAAATGACGAGCAAGGTCCTGGGGCTGAAAATAAAAGAACATTAGCAGAATGGGCCCCAGGACCTTTTTTTAATGTCATTTCAAAGTAAAAAGAACAAGAGTCAGCACACACATCTGAATGTTTCATGAATGAAAGGCATTTTAAATCTTTATTCTCCTACTCATCTCAATGGTGCAGAATATACCTAGGGAGGTTGTGTATAAAAATAAAAATGAGGAAATTAGTAATAAAGTTCAGTCCTAGAAGCAGAGGTTAACAAGTCAGAAATCCCAGGCTTGGCAACACTAGGAAACTGGCATGTGTGACAGGGTAGTTAGGGATGACCCAGGGAAAATCAGGATTTGCAAGAGTCCATATGCATACAACCCCCCAGGAAATCTTCTGGGGGCATGCACAGGCCTCTGACACAAACAGACCAGAAACAAACTCCAATGCTAACTCTTTCATGTGCTAATTCTAATCATGGGAGAGTAGATTAATCTCAGCAAATTATTTAATCATCTATGAAAGAGAAGTAACAATATTGTTCATCACACATCTGGGCAAAAGATTGAGAAGTGGTTCTCTCTGAATGTCTCATATGGCCTATGTAAGAGTAAGGAAATTATACTGAAATAAAGCACAACCAATATAATAAAATTATAAGAAGAGAGATGCATACCTACAACTGGTAGACTCCTGAGCTTAATGCAACACATCTACTAAAATGCAGTCAGGATGTAAAGTAAATAAGAAAGTTAAATAAAAAACAGTAAAAGCAATAATCCATTTCTGGACTTTCATTATTATTTAAAATACTTTTATTAGTAACTGACCACGTATTTTCTTTGCCTTTTTTACAAAGTATAAATCCTACTTATTATTTCTTTCTGAAATATGTAACTATCCACTGAGAATTATTACCTACTATGTGCATTTTATCATACTTGACTTTTAAGGAATTAAAATATTATTTTATTTTGTATGTATAGGTGTTTTGCCTGCATACTTATCTGGGCACTACCATGAACAACTGGCCTACAGAGGTCAGAAGAAGGAACCGAGACCCTGAGAACCAGAGTTTCAGATGATTGTGAACCACCATGTGGATGCTGGGACTAAGTTTTCTGTAAGAGCAGACTGCATTCTTATCTGGTAAGCCATCTCTCCAGTCCTCAAATAATGTTTAATCCTAGGTTATGAATGTTCTTTACATTAATAATCTTGACATAAATATTCAATATCACACACCCACATCATAGAATTCAGAATATCTCCATTAGGAATGATCACAAGAAAAAAAGGGGCCATTGAGTTAAAAATATTACTTATGTGAATATCTTAAATAAAGTTTCTTTCAAAATATTCATTAGGGTGATTATTAGCCAAGAAGAAGTACTAGGTTACCAAATATTTCTTATGATAATGAGTCTTTGCCATGAATGTTGAGCTTTCTGATCACAGGTGAAGGCCCAACCTCCAGTGCCAACTTCAGATCCTTTCTGTGGCATGATGCCTTCTTGCTGATACCCTGGGCACCTGTTAGCTTAGGAGCATCACCTCT